GCGTGCGTGCCAGGGCTGGGGGCTCCGCCACTTCGCCCGCGGCTCACCCGGCTCCGCACTTCCCTCTCTCCAGGGCGGGCGGCTTCGCTGAGGTAAGCCGGGCCCCTGGGCTGGGTTCTGGGCTGGGCTGCGGGGCCCGGGACTCCCGAGGTGCGGGTCCGGGGAGCGGGCGGCGGCCGAGCGGGCCGGGGGTGGGGGGAGTGTGGGGGACTTGTTTTCTGTTTGAAAGCTGCCCCGCTGGAGGCAGAGGGGCCGCCACCCGCACTCCAGCGAGCCAGTTCGCTCCTCTGTGCGCCCGCCGGCCGGCCAATCGGACCGGACGCCCACTTCTCCCGGGGAGACGGCAGCACCTTTTCTCCCTGCGCCCGCGCTTTCTCCAGCTTGGCTTCCACCGACTTTGGTGATCGCCCGGACCGCATCTGGACGCTCCGGCTCCAGGGCTGCACAAAGCTCAGGTTTCCTTGGGAGGCTGGAGGCAAAAGGGACTTTTGGAGCCGAGTTCAGCATAATTGCGGGCTTGGAAGTTAGCGAATTTGGGCAACTTGCCTCTACTACCCAGGCGACCTCTGCTCTCCCTCCCCGCCCCCCACACGCACGCCCCCCGCACGCACACCCACGCACACACCCCTCTACCTATAAACGAGGGCGGCGAGGCCGCTCAGCGCAAGGAGTCCCTGCCTCGAGGAGCGCCGGACTTGGAGTCAGACAGCTCTGGCTGCGAATCCCGTTCCGCCACTTTCTAGCGCTGTGACCTTGGGCAAGTTACCGAACCTCTCGGAGCCTGTCTCACTTTTCTCCTAGCAGGGTGATAGTACTGACCGCGGGCAGCTTGGCTAGGGGGGGTTGCTCAGCCTGTGGCCGTGTCGGGTGCTCCGCGGGCGCTCTGTAAGTGTTGGTGACGCGCGGGAGTGGCCGCCGCTGGCGCCGGAGTGCGCCCCCGCGCGCAGAAACGCCAAGGGGGCCAAAAAGAGCCACCGAGGCTGAGACCCCGTCCCTCTCCTCCTGGCCTTCGGGCCCCTGTAACCAGTTCCTGATACAGCACTTGCGGGGACGGACGCTCACAGCCCCGGTGGCCTGATTGTCCGCGCCCACCGCGCAGCGATGCTCTGGGCCTCCCCAGCTCTTGCGGCTCCACCTGGGATGCAGCGAGGAGGGCAGCCGAGCTGTCCGCAAACAACGGGCCTTTAGTTTTCAGGTGGCGAAACTGACTGGTCTGGTTAGAGCGCGTCCAAGCCAAGCTGCAGTACTGTTTGGATTTTTAAATTTCTCCTTCTGAGTGAGAAAATAACAATCGAGATGGAGCCATCCGGTTGGTGCCATTTTAACTTTTGGTCCCCCAACAGGTCAAAGACGCGGACTCCCAACCTGCCTCTCCCTTCTCTCTTATCCCTCTCCCCTCCCCACCCCCACCTGGGCGGGAGGCGGCTATCGGCCCTAGGGAAAAGGTCTGGAGCGCCGGGCGGGAGGCTGGCCCGGGAACTAGTGGCCGGGGCCCGCGAGGCGCCGCGGGCGAGGAGGCACTTGTTGCTCTGGGTTGCCCAGCCGCCTCTCGCAGCCCTCTCGCCGCGGTCCGCTCTTAGCTTGGAGGGCGGGCTGGGACGCTTCCGCCTTGCCAAGTTTTGCCTTCGAATGAGCTGATGAAGACGAAGTAGGGACTGAAAATCCGGGTAGCAGGGGCAGGGGTGTGATCGAAATGTGATTGCCTCTACAGATTCAGCAACACTTACTTAGCGCCTACGGAGCTCAGACCCAAAGCTGGGAGCTCAGACCCAAAGCTGGGGGGTCTGGGTGGGTAGTGGGCACGGCGATGGGAGGCGTCAGAGATGAATGGAAACAGGGTCCCGCCTAGGGGAGCTCCCAGCCTGAAGGGGGAGACATGGCAAAATTATCTTCCCCTCGAACCGATATCAAAACCGGAATACTTTTTTTCTTTTTCTCTTTCTCTCCTTTTTCTATTTTCCTCCCACCTCTTTTGGGTCTTTCTGTTACTGTCGTTGTCGCTGTTGTTGTTGCTGTTGCTGTTTTTTCCTCCCCGGTACTTTTCAGTACCCGGAGGCATAGAAGAAGGAAGGCTGGATAAGAACGGGAGAAGGTGGCAGCCCCCCCCCCCAACACCCTTCCTCCGATATTTTATTTTTCTTCGGTCATGAAAATGGCTTGATACTGAAGATGCTAGGGCTCTTAAGGACGACACGGATTAGACGTCCTTTTCTTGTGATCACTGGCTTGAAATATTCTTGAGGCACCTCAAAGAAGTAACAGAGCTTCAATCAAGCCGTGGCAGCGGACTTAGCAACTGATTTTTCCCCTCATGTTTTCTCTTTCCCCTCTTTCTTTCTCCTCCCTTTGCCTTCCTCCTCTTCTAGTACGCAGTGCAAAGATGATAAAGATAGGTAGTAAATGGCCACTTTCTGTAAGTGTCTAAGCAGATTCTTAAAGGGCGAGGGAGGTATCACAGAGAATTTGAGCCTTGTTAGAAAGATTAGATGCTTTCTTTAAGCACCTGAAGAGTCTTTGGGTTGACAGGTATTTGTAAATATGAAGTTACCTATAATTCATCATGAAGGTTAGAATATGTGGGACTTTTTCAAAAACAAGGAAAATAACTTGAGAGTTTATAGAGATTTCTTTATTTTCTGGTTTGGGAGCATTCTCATCCCCTGTGCTTTAACACTGGAGCCAGTCAATCATTTCTTTGGGAGCCATTCAAATCATTCCAGGCATCACTTGGCCAGTGAGCAGGTGAAGTCGGTGGGCACCAGAATGCTAGCCTGCTCCCAGAAGCACTGCCATCTGATGGGAAAGCTGCTGATGCCATGCCTTAGCCTCCCTTATTCTTGCCTCTTACTACAAATGGGTGTGGGATTGTGTTCAGAGCCAGTGTGCTGGGAAACCGCTCCCAGGACCATCTTCAATAGAGCCTATGGCCTGGAGAAAATGGAGACATCCCTGGCTGCTCTCTGGCTGCTCTGGAGCCCAGTCCACCCTGGTCAGCCCACTTTTCTCATACCCTGGCTGAGGCAGGGCCTTGCGGAGCCCCATGACATTTACCTTAGGGACTTATTCCTTCCCTGGGCTGCTTTCCAGGTGTGATATGTCTTGACTCCTTCCCAATTTTTTCCTGTCCAGATGAGACCCCAGCTCTCCAACACAGAATCTGGTGGCCTTTTGAGACAAGGTACTACTTACCTAGGGGCATTCCTGCTCTCAGAATCAGGAACAGTGCCTCTGCCCACACACACACACACACACACACACACACACACACACACACACACACACACACACTCAACTATCTGAAGTCACTTGCATGAAGAAACAGTCATGCGAGCCCCCACTTGGTGATGTGGGTAGCTTGTTGCCTGGGCAGCAGTTGGCTGAATCTAGCACCTTTCCTGCTTCAGGAAAAAGATCCAGTGTGATCACCTCGCTCTGCTCAGGAGGTCTCTGGGCTTCAGTCTAATCTTGTCACTATCCTTGCCTTGTAGCTATGTGGCGTGGCCCTGCTTCAAACTTTGCTGCTGCTTTCTTGGTCAGTGAAGCCTGTGCCCTTATTACCTCTTCTCTTTCACATACAGCACAACAGCTCCAACTGGCAGCCTCACTTCCCACCAGTTTATCCAACTTCTGCCAAGGCTCTGAGATGCCAACTATGTCGAGGCCTGCACTTGATGTCAAGGGTGGCAATTCATCTGCAAAGGAGGTAACTTTTACCATTTTACAAATGGAGACACTGAGGCATGGCAAGACAAACTGGCCTGGGATCATGTAGTAGGCCCTCTTCAGTGTGGTAGTGTCCTTCAGCAAAGAGGAGACAGCAGGGCTTTTTCTGGGGAGAATATGAAGAGTTTCTGCCTGGTCAAGTTGAACCCACTAGGGATGTTGAGATATACCAGGAAAGGGAGCAGAGAAATAGAACTGTATTAAGACCACACCACTGAAAAGATTAAATTGAGACTGAGGAGAGATGATGAGATGCCCTCTTTTAAATGGGGAGGTGGAGAGAGGTCGGGAGAAAAAGAGGAAAGCAGTGGACCCACTCAGGATGGTGGGCGCTCAGCTCAGAGCCATGGTAGTGACAGGACACTCGAGCTGGGAGCTTAACTCTCCAGGGGACCTCTGGCTACCTCCCCACTACTTGCCCCAAACGAAGGGCATGTATGCACTTTCTCCACCTGATGAATGATAAGGGACCAGCCAGGAGCAGGGGTACTATTCTGTGTCTTTCTGTGTCTTCTAGGATGCCAACCAAGAGATGAATTTTCACTCCAACCTGGGAGTGAAAGATCGCAAAGCAGTAGCCATCCTGCACTACCCCGGGGTGGCCTCAAATGGAACCAAGGCCAGTGGGGCTGCCACTGGTTCCTCAGGATCTCCATCTCCAATAGGCTCTCCTACTGCCACCCCTCCCACTAAACCCCCACCCTTCAACCTGCACCCCGCCCCTCACCTGCTGGCCAGTATGCAGCTGCAGAAACTTAATAGCCAGTATCATGGGATGGCCACTGCCATTCAGGGCCAACCCGGGGAGGCAGGGCCCCTGCAAAACTGGGGCTTTGGGGCTCAGGCGGGAGGGGCGGGATCACTCTCTCCTCCTGCTGGTGCCCAGAGCCCTGCCATCATCGATTCGGACCCAGTGGATGAAGAAGTGCTGATGTCACTGGTGGTGGAACTGGGACTGGACCGAGCCAACGAGCTTCCGGAGCTGTGGCTGGGGCAGAATGAGTTTGACTTCACTGCAGACTTTCCATCTGGCTGCTGATGCCAACTGCCCCTAAAGATGGAGGAATAAAGCCACAATTCTGTTGTAAATAAAAATAAAAGTTACTTACAAAGAGATGGGCCAACTAGAGTTGTTCTTCATTGAGGTCTAAAGGCATGTAGCTATTTCGAGGCTGATGGTCGGGTCGTGGGTGGATAGCTAGGGAGAAGCTTGGATGGGATGGGAAGAATGGGGAAGACTGGAGGGCACTGCTCACCAGATCCTTACTGCCACTACCACTGCATTTCCTCTTCAGGGGCCCAAGTAGCTAAGCTCACTGCCTTAACAACTCGAGGCTGAATACAGGGGCCAACTAGGGGTGTTCTTGGAAGAAAGACTGAGCCTCTGCCTTGCCATTAGCAGATCCAAGTATGCAAGGTTTCCCTGGCCAAATGGCATACACTTCACAAGCTCCAAAAATACTCCCGCATACTCACTAGTCCCAATTTATATGCCCCATTAAGGCCCTTTTGCCTGTAGGCACTAGATAGGCTTTAAGGAGTGTAAGACATGGGAGCTCAAATTTCTCTGGAAAATGGCAAAAGCTACATATGCCTGTCATTGAACTGGTGTTCAAGGTGCCTTCTTCAAGACCCTCAGACAGTTGCTCAATCCCTCCCTCCAAGCCCAGGGTCACTGAGCTGGCCTGAGTGAACATTAATTCCTGTCTCCCTGACCTACCTTGCATAGAGATAGCCTGTTTGTTTGACACAGAGATACAGATCAGAGCTGGGTTTGAACAGATCAACATTTGGGCATATATCCTTTGCCCTTAGATTAACTGTTGAATGGGGTCCTGGCCTTGGGAGGGCCTCAAACAAGCCCAGTCCTCATGTTTACACAACCCAAGGGCTGAGAGATTTGGATACTTCTCTTCCCACATTTCAGATCACAGAGGCATTCTCCCTTGGGTAATGTGAAATCTAATCGGCGTCTTGAGACTAGGAACCAGTCTGGCCCATAACAAGAGCTGTCAAGGCACCTACCAGCAGACACAATTCATTAGCCTCAGCTCCCCAAGTATCTGCTCTAGGCCAGGCACAGGGAACATGAAATAGATAAAGTCTACCTTTGAGGAGTTCTACATCCAGAGAGAAAAAGACAAGCACCAACAAGTCACAATGAAACAGTATTTTCTGCACTGGGAGGAGTGCTGTTAGATTCCAGAAATCAGCTCATCTGCCTAGGAAGACTACAAAAGACTTCTCGGTATTGAACTCATGTGTTAGTTCATGTGTTTGTTTTTCTATTTCACAGTAATAAATATGATCCCCTTGTAAAAAATAGAAACTTTACAGAGGAGGCTAACGTCCGCTTTGATGAACCTCTCTCAATCCTGACCACCCTTCATCTTCCACAGAGGCAGCAACTGTTTATCTGTTTGGGGTTTGTCCATGCTGGCCTTGCTCTGTGCCCTGACAAATATTATGGCTATCCAGAGAAACAATTGGTTTTTAAAATAAGACTAGAGTCAACGAAGGAAAGAATGGGAGAGGGGATAAGCTCTTACATAGATGCAGGTTCATGAAAGGGAGTGCTGTGGCTAAAACCAGAATTTCAGCTTGCAGGGTCATAGGGCTAGTGGTGAACGTGACAGGAGATGATGCAGGAAGTTTGCAATAGGCAAAGAATGAAAAGCCTTCAAGGCCAGGTAGAAGGCGGGCCTTTAACCTTATTTAGTACCACCAGTCCTGTGGCTTGTAGAAAATCTCTGGAAGCCTGTAGTAAAGTAAAGAATTAACCAACTTTGATTTTAGGATGATCTGAGTAAAGGTGAAGGCTGGGAGCCGGCAGACCTGCCTGGGATTCCTGAAACAGGGGTAGGAAAACCAAAGAGGGGAGAGCAGAAGCTTGGGGAATGCCGGGCTTGAGAGTCTAGAGGTCTATGCTTGGAGAAAAACAGGGAGAGCTGGGGAAGTCAGAAACTAAAGGGGAGGAAGGAAGCTGCAGCCAGTAAGTGGGCTTCAGAGTCTGGACAGCTCTGATGACAAGGATAGGGTATGGGTGTGAGCTCAGAAATGGGGTTTACAGTAGCATGGCAGGATATGGGAAGGGCAAAGTAAAGACAACTTCTCAAGGGCTTACAGTCCTATGGTAGAGACCACCATAATCTTGAAGGATGAGTTAAATTTCCATAAGGCAGAAGCTGGCAAGGAAATGAGAAATTGACATGACCTCCAGTCACTGGGAGCAATTGGAGTACAAGCTGATAAAATTATGGCATGCTGCAAACCAGAACCACACATTAGAAACTCCGTGATGACTGAGTATTCAATAAATGCTTTGGGTCATATTTTGCAGGGAAAGGTGGAAAGTCTAGTAGTTTGACTACTTGAAGGAAGGCAGAATAAGAGAAGGTAAGTTGGAATCAGATCTTACAGCTGTTTCCACTTTTATTCCTCAGGTGAGGGGGAACCTATCATTCCACAGCATGAACCAAGCTCCTAATGTACTAGACACACAGTGGGCACTAGAAATAGGTGGTAAGCACATTGTCCTTGTGCTCATAAAGCTTGAAATTTAGCACAGACAGAGATAATACTCAAATAAACAGATCTTTAAAATTACGAATCATGACAAGAGACAGATAAGATACAGGTGCTATAAAAGTTTAATGAGGGGATCTTAATTTCAATTGCAGTATCAAGGAGGACTTTTGAGTAAGGAAGTGTTGTGGCCAGAGCATGAGAAAAATCAAGCAACAGTGTGCATGGCAGATTGGAATGGTAGTGATGCTAAAAAGTTGGACAATGGTCCAGGTAAGAATTAAATTAGCTTAAAATGAAAAGGTACCATTTCAATAGGGATTTGTTGTTCAATGAGTATAGAGCTTCAGTATTGCAAGATAAAAATGTCCTGTAAATCTGTTGCACAACAATATGAATGTACTCAACATTACTGAACCATACACTTAAAAATGTTTAAGATAGTAATTTTTTTATGTGATTTGTACCACAGTTTTTAAGGTAACATTTCAAAGCAAAGAGAAAATGATGGCAACTGGATACATACCTCATGCTTTACACCAAAATGAATTCCAGTGGACCAAAATTTTTAAGATAAAAAATGAAACCATTGGGATGGGAGTGAAGAAAGGAGGAACCCCAATGGATCATAGGGAACCCCAATTGGGGCACTCATGGTGGGCATGGTATGAAGATATGCATTCATGGGAGTTTGAACTTATAACCCCCAAAGATGCAATGACATAAACCTTCTTACCTCAATAAACATAATTTTTAAAAAATGAAATCATAAAAGTACTAGAAGAAAACATGAGGATTTTTAAAGAAATATTTTCCTAAGAATGGCATAAAACGCCAAAGCTGTAGAAGAGATTTATTGCCTGCAAGCCAAATAAAGACCATTAAAAAAAAAGTGAAAATCAAAAAATAAACAGTAAACTGGAAGAGGGAGGAATATCTGCAACTGATAGCGAACATGAAAACAACTTTTACAAATCAATATGCTGAAGATCAGCAGTCTGGTATAAAGTTAGGCAAATATAAAAGAATAATATCAAAATGAAATACAGAAAAAAATTGAAATGGTCTGAATACTTATCAAAAGATTCTCAATTTCACGCATAATAAAAGAAATGTATTTTAATAACAAAAATAATGAACAAACATATACCAGAGACATTTTGCGGCAGTGGAGTGGGGAATGGGATCAAAAACAGGGGGGGTGGGGAGGGAAGTGCACAGGATTATGGTGATAGCACACAGGTGACTTGGTGATGGGAAACCCGCGGGGATTACAATTGAGATGGAAAAAAAAATGTTCAAAATGATGTAAAAATAAACTGTTATAAAATAAAAAAATTGTAATTCAGGAGTTAACATGTTAGCTCTTCCATATGTATACATATTCCACTTACCCTCTACCAAACCACCTGTATCAATACCTCCAAATATTGGATAATGTCATTCTTCTGTACAATATAAATAACTCTCTCTGGTGGTGCAATGGGTTGAAGTGCAACGCTGTGAAGTTGTCTGCAGCTACTACAGCATGGGTTCAATCCTCAGACAGGGTGGTGACCCACATGGCTCAGCAGACCTCTCCTGACCCACCCACTGGTCCCCTCAGCAGTGTATTTCAATAGATCTGCCTGTTCTGCTCCCCACTCTGTCTAGTGAATCCTTTCACCCCCACACCTCTGGCCTAAAAAAAAAATGTATTTTAAAACTACAGGTAGGACTTCTGATTCCAGAATAAGATGATACAGGCTCACTTCTCCTGTTCCTGTCCTTCAATACAGCTCTATACCTCAGAAAATATTCAACAATGATGAAAGCACTTTGAAGGTGGACTGACTAGGAGATTCAGGATTTGAGAAATGACAAATGGGAAGTTCCCCAAGTTTTCATTGATCTCACATGTACCCCTGCACTGGGTACCAAAGAGACCTGTAATCCAAACTCACCAACATGTACACCTAGACTGAGAAAGAAGTGCAACACAGACCTAGAGACCAAATGGGAAGGAGACCTAAGGCCTATTCCACAACCAAAACCCCAAAGAGTACTCCAACCTGTTTGCAACAGCAAAGTCTGGGCTATCTCAGTCCTCACTCCTTGACTGACACACAAGTAGGCAGCCTGATTGTCATGCAATGGTGACAGTAGAAAGCCTTCTGCCCAATGACATAATATGACCTAGGTACAGTGGCTGTAGCCACCTCCCCTGTCCTAAATTACCTAGCAACATGAGTAAGGTTTGAATGGGAGCCCCAGGGACAACAGAAGAATGAAGCAGACCAAAGGAATATTGCAAGGGTTTGGGAAATCAAAGTGTTATTGGAACTACAGAAGTATACCAGAGCATTCATACTAAACCAAAACAGAGTGACTGTCTGCTAAATTAGATGCCTGAAATAGAATCAAGATTCTCCTAACATAGCTAAAATGTCCAGGGTACAATAGAAAGTTACTCATCATAACAGAAGCCAGGTCACCACAATTTTTAGTAAGACAATTAACTGACATCAATGCCAATATGAATCAGAGGCTGGACTTACCTAACATGACAAGGGCTTAAAAGTAGCCATCATATGGGTCAAACACTACACGACATACACTT